TTGGGAGTTCATTGTGAATCTGGCTGTGATCGTCGTCCTGACTGCGACGTTAAATAATTCCTGAAGAGATGGGGGCGCTCTATAAATTCCTCCTGATCAGCCAGATCACATGGACAGGAAGGCTCGTCGCCGTACGAGGGTAAATAAGAGTGGTTGGGCTGGCTTGCTCGGTGACAACTTGGGCACAGGGGTGGGCCGAAACACACACGAAGACACTGCCTGCTCAAAGATGCTATTCGGTATGTTGGATTGAGGGGAGGGTAGGTTTTAATTGGTGTTTAACTGTATACACAACCATACCCATCAATCATACATCTGTTACATTGTCTTTTCGTACTTTTGATCAGTTGGTGGACAGACTGCTAACACCTCACAGACAGACTAGAGTAGTACTGAAGTATACTACCATAGCCAGTTCTATCTAGTGCTGCTGTAAGTGAACTAGTCAAAGTGCATCTAGACTATGTAGACAATCTGTGTGAATGTTGTAGACATGCCACTTGATCGGTACAGTAGGGGACTTGCCGGACACAACTATTTATAGAAAACTAAGTGTCGGTCAGACATATGCTGCGGTAGGATTCCACTAGGGGATTCTAGTGCAGATATTGCTTGTCTAACTAATGAGTGGATCAGATCCTGTGGATGATAGAGTGGACAACACTAGACTAACACGTTCAGGAACAAGTAGAATCCCGTACGTGTTCAGGACCCTAGACGAGGAAGAAATAAGACAACTTCGTGCCGAACGCAGAGCCCGTGCTCTCGCAGCATCGAGAGCAACAGCAAACGCCGCAGCTAGGGAACAGGCTGCCGCAGCAGCTAGGGCAGCAGCCATGACTAGCTCAGCAGCATCCTCTGCGGCTTTGTCAGGGACTAATGGGATGAGTGTGGGAATGCCAACTAGTTCCACAAGTTCCTCGGGCACTTCTGGATCAACGGGTTCTAGACAGTCTACTAGTCAGATGGCGGGCTCGTAGTACAGCCCGCTGACCGCACGTGAGCGGGAACTCAGGGAACTCCAACAGGTCGAAAGGGTCCGCGAAAGGTTAGAAAGAGAACTGAAAGAGACTACTGATAGAGAAACAGAGATAAAGAATAGAGCTGCCAGGCTTGATACACTAGAGACTGACAAAGCTGAGTTAGAGGGATTGGACGAAACGGGTTTGTCTGAGCCCATGAAAGTGTTGAAGAACAACATGTTGTCACTGCACGCGCATGTAGACAGCAGGTTGGACTTCATGCAAAGCACTTTGGACCAGATCCTGGATGTATTGACAAGGCCAGGATTCAGGCCACCAGCACAATCGTCGTTGCCGTTAACGGCGATGTCAGGTCCCTTTCCCGTACAAGCCGGCACACAGCCAAGTGGTACATCTGCAGCAGTCTCACAGACTGTTCAGTCTTCTTCTTCGAGTCCAATGGTGATTCCTACATCACCACAACAACCTGTTCAGCAATCTGGACAGCCGCAAGGCCAATGCTATCCCAAGACCCTAATGAAACCGCCTCTTGCCTTCAGGCGAGAGAAAGGACGAGGAACTCAACACATGGTTGAGGACAGTCCCGTTTTGGGTGAAGGCAAAAAGGACCTTGCCAGAGGATGAGGTGGTAAGTGCGGCGTCTTACCTAGAGGGTAAGGCAGCCAAGTGGCTAGATGGTGTAGTTGTGAAGGCCGGGTACGGGCGACGCATGGCGGATTGGGCTAAGTCTTTGACCTTAGACCAATTCATGGAGATGGTAGCAGCTCGATGGCATAACCCACAGGAGGCTCAAAGGGCCACTGATGCCATTAACAAACTTGACCAACGCAAGCTCAGGTCAGTTAGGGAGCTTACGACTACCGTGGAGGGCCTGATCCTCGTCCCGGGCATCAACTACAGTGACCAATTCTTGTTAACAACTTTTGTTAGATGTCTTCCAGAGAACATCAGGAACTTACTGGCCAGTGAGGCACGCACCGAGTACCACTCATTTGAGACATTGTCTAGGAAGGCCTTAGACTTAAAGGGAACACTAGGCAATGTTCAACCCACCTCAGGGAACGACTCAAAGAAGAAGAAGAGTCCCCAGGAGTGGAAGAAGAAGGGGGCGAAGTTGATGATGGTTGAGTCAGATGGGACCCAAACTGAAATCGACGAGCTCTCTGACCTGGTGGACTATTCAGAGTGTGACGGCGAGGAGGTAGCTGAGGGTAGCACCCTCGCCGCGGTAGTAAAGACTAAGGCAGGTGGCCGAGGTAAGGGCCAACCTAGGAGTCAAGGAAAGGCCGCCTCCAATCAGACCAAACAGGTTGAGTGGGCAAAGGCAGGCATTGACCAGGACGTGTGGCGTGACCGCCGATCGCGTGGCGCTTACATCAACTGCGGTGAATACGGACACACGCAGTGGAAGTGTCAGATCGCGAAGGTTACGTAAAAGGTTGCACCAAAGGTTGGGGCAACTTATTCCCAGGCATCTAGCTCGGGAAACGCGTAGGGCCAGTGGAAGTAATAGCGGCTTCTATTCAAGATGAAGTGGGAATGATACCCTCCTCACTTCATGACAAGGCCGAAGCTAATGACTCCTTAGCTACCCCGCAGACGCATCTAGACCAAACTATGCTCTGTACGTTAGATGTGTCTGAGGCCTTAGAAGACTTAGAAGGTGAATGGTCAAACAAGGATCCTCGCGAGTCTTGGGTGGCGCTAAAGAAGGGTCCTAGAGGGGAACATTTCGTGGTGGAAGTGGATGTAGGAGCTGCAAATGTGGAGCCTTCATAGACAACGGATCCACGCGAAA